ACAGCCAGGGAAAAACTAGCCAAAAGACTGAAGCCCAGCTGAACCAACAGGCCCCCGGCTGCGGTCTTCAATATGGGCAATTGGCAGCCCTCTCATCTTATACAGACAGCTTACACCTGCTCTGTTATAGGGCTGGGAGGACTTTGAATCAAGGGCCTACAAATAAAGACTTGCCTGTTAGTGTGAGAAGGAATAAGTGAGGGCTTGTGTGCTGTGTATGGGTGTGTATTCTTTTTTTACACTGAGGCAACAACTGGACGCTGCTGTTGTTTTATGTGGTTCCTGACTCATCCTTCATAATGCTGGGTAGCAGATGCTATGATTCCCGCCAGCTTTTATGTTATTTAGTTCTTCTTTTTCCTTATTAAAAAATTTAACCATTAACCATTCTTACAGTGCTCATCACACATCTGAACATATTGAAAGAAGAATTAGACTGTAAGCATGGTTTCCAAGAGTTTGTCACAAAAATTTTTTCATCTGCCCTTGTGCGAGAGTCTGTGCTGACCATCCAAATGCAGCCCAAACTTTCTGACCCTGGGGTACTGCAGACACACAAAATGTTGTGTGTATCCACATGCATTTTGGACCACATCCTGTCCCTCTTGGAGAAGCTTTATGTTAGGCTTGCCCAATATAAGGAAAATCTGCAATGAGCAATAAAAATTACAATGATGATGTGACTTACAATAAATAAACAGTTTCTATGCAATTCCTTAGCCATTGTGCTAACTAACCTCATTGTCACCACCAAATTGACAATTCATTTGAGAGTAGCTGACTGCTTCTTCTGCTGATTCAACAAATGGTGTTCTCCAACTCCAACTTGATCTGCTCAGTTTTAATCACTACTGTTTGAAGTACACACACAGTGGCTTGGAAACAAGTGTGTTAAGTGGAATTGTAATGACACTTAATCACCTCACAGATGCTCCCAATATTGTGGGCTATGGTGTAGGGCCTGTGTTGATTCTAAGCAGAAATATAAATGAGGCTTTGCCTGGTAGTTGACAAAAATTTAGATAATTAGCTCGATGGTTGGTAAAAAAATAAATAGTAGTAGTCTTTCTGTTTGGATTATTTGTAGCAATTCACTATTCCTTCTTCCTCTGGCTCCTCAATAGATTTTCATTTTAAAAGGTTAGCTTACTTCCTGTAAATATCGTCACACAAACCCCCAACATGAGCTGTTCCATACACTGTTTATCACTTACCTAATCAGCCCTGATTCTCCTAGAAGGACAGGGAGCCTATGACGGAGAACAAAAACATCACCAGGACTCTGTCCCTCTCCAGAGCACTTGGTCCTCTAATTACATTTCCCTCCTTCAGTGATGTAAATGGAGATGTGTAATCATCAAAGCAAAATAGAGGCCCGCTGTGCAACTCTAATTAATACAACCTCCTCTATCCAAATGCATTTTCCACTTCTTTCAGACTGTCCTCTCAAAACACAAGTCTGAAGGCTGGAGGCACTGCTGATGCTCCAAATTACATTTCTGTTTTGTGGTGTTTTCCCAAAAGTTAGCAAGAATATCTGAAGGCCAAACACAGAGAATGAGGCCAACATTTATCATGGTGACAAAGAGTTAATGTCAATTCTTCACTGAATTAATGTGGTTTTCAACTAGTTTGATATTTGTTAAATGATTGATTCACTTGAAAACAATAAAATCTACATTTAAACTATACCATTAAAAAATGATACACAACATAAAAATAAAATATGACAATTGTATCTATCTGTAAATGATGACCAAATAAAGTTTATATTAATTATGAATTTGTTTCTGTTCATGTGACATTCTTTCATCAAATATTAGCCAATGAGCACAGCCAGACTTTCTGTCTTGTAAACTGCTGACCATGTATCCTGACATTACAAGATATCCTGAGGTGTCTGTGACTCTGACACAATTTTGTAAAATAGCCAACTGTCCTTGACTTGTTTGGTTGTGTCTCTAAGTGGGGATAAAGCCATTCATGAACCAAAACCAAACATTTCTTGAATGGCTGGGATGACTGTGCCTGTGAATATGCCTGTGACTCAAAGGTCTGGAACCAGCTTTGACTTAAACTAACTCTGGAAACAGAGGCAACCGTCAAGGCTTTCCTTTCCTCTGTCAAGGCAGGAACTAAACATAAAGATCTTCACAAATAATAGAATTTCCCTATGCAGTAATTAACACAAACTGTTATTTTGTAGTGTAGACCTATCATAATGAACTGAAAGACAGATTTATCTAATACTGAAATACACAAAGTGCTTACCTTCTCTTCCGCCCTATTGTTTTAACCAATGGTGTCACAATTGAGTGAATGCTAAATACGTATTGAAACATCCTACTAACCTAATGACACACTATAAGCACACAGTATTGTGAAATAACAACATCACTGACCTCTGAGGCATGAGGTAACACACCCTCTGTTAGTATGTTCCTGGAAGACAACACTGCAACATTTTATTGAAGTTCATCATTAACTGTAGCTTCATGTGGTTTGTGACTAAATATGGTTTTATGTCAGGTCAGTTGAGAGTAAATATGTGGATATTGAATGTCGAACCACAGAGATGAATCACTTGTTTGACAGATTATTTTGCTTGATGGAATCTGTTGACAGAAATTTTTGTCACAGCAATTCTGTCACACCCCTAAGTGCAACTTTCGATGTGTATTGTCTCTACTGTCTTTGCAGCGTTAATCAGGGCGGTGTCCCATTAAAATCTGTCAATAGGTTTTCTTAGAAGAGACACAGGTCTACCAGGCTTTTGAGATAGACATGTAAAACAATAAAAAACAAGGACCTTCTGCCAGTGTGACTGTCAAGAATCCACTGACAGATGATCAGAGAACCACACTTTGGAAACGGTGCCACATTCTCCACTTATCTCTTGTTCTACCCACACAAAACTCATGTCACAGTACAGAGAGAGTCTATGGATGAGAGCCACAATAGTACAGTAGAGTGCTCAAAACAAACCCCCCCACTCAGACCCTGGAAGAAGCTTTTGCTCATGAGACTATATGGCAAAGAATCATAAAGATAAAAAAGGAAAGATTAGATTATAACAGATTATGTGCAATATTGTGATATGTATCGTTATTTGGAGATGAAATTAAGCACATCAGGATATACGATTATGGTGATATCACACAGCCCTAGCTATCATCATTACAAAAGTTAGCAAGCACCTGTAATAACTTATGCAACTATTCTACCAGTACTGCCCATCAACTATCAGTCAGCATGACTTCTTCCACTCCTACATTCCTGTTTTACTTTTATCATCAACTGTCAGTAGGCTGGTCTCTTCTCACTTGTAGTGGTGATCAGTGCCGCTATTATTCTACCATTACTGCAAAGGTAATGTACTGCTTGGTTCTGAATTCAACATTTTACACAAACGAAATGCAGGAAAGCTTTTATTCTAAAGCAGCAACAGGCAATGTAGTCTTAATTATTTTTAAAAGATAGTGAGCATGCCAAAAATATTTTTTTGTCTTTTTGTTTGTCTATTGGTTCAGGGTCTGAATATTATTTGTCATTGTACGAGAGCACTAGAGATAACTACCTATTACTCAGAGGAAACACATTCGTGAAACTGTCATCCTGGTCTTATGGTTTCACTTTTAACTCAGAACAATGTTCAAATGTCCCAACTTTTCCAAGTCAGTCGAGAATGTTAACAAACTGAAGAGGAAACGCTGGAATTACAGATAAGCACATGAAACTTTTGGCTGACTACCAACTGCAAACATACTACAGTAGTAAATTTAATATGCCAAGGTGTGACTGAAGCCATCATATACTGTCCAGCATAACGTCATCAGTTGACACGATGAAGCTAGTTTCGTCCGACTGGAACAACCGCCCAAACCTGATTATCACTACCTCTGTTAGACAAACTGTGCACATTCCTCCCATGTCAAACTGAAATAAATAAATCCCCTCACACAAAAGAACAATTGATTATACTGTGTAAAGCATATTTAGGTCTAATATGAGGATTGATAAAACTAAATTACATTTTTTGAAAGATATCACTATCATAAGGTGCACGTGTGAAAATGGACTTTGGAGCACAAGCTTACAGTATGGGCAAAATAATCTTCTGCTGTTTATCAACACTTGACCTGGAGTACTTTCAAGTGCTCCAGCACGAATGATTGATTCATTATCTAAAATGACTAAGACTAGAAACGTTTGCAGGGCTCAACGGATATTCAAACAGCTATTTTTATAGCAGTGTTAGGGGTGAAAACAACACATCAATATAGTGGTTCCTTAAAATAGGCTGCAGGGACATCAACAGACACTTGACAAGTGAGAGCAGGGATGCTGCAAAGATAAAGTTTTATTTTAGTCACTTTACTTAAGGTGAGTATATTAAGAATGTGTATTCAGTCCATGCTATGGGTAACATATGGCTGTTTTTCCTAGATATGTTACCATCCCCTTACTACCACAACTACTGCGACTAATAGTGATAATAATAACAGAATTTCAAGTATTCCATGAAATAAACTACAAAGTTCATACTTGTTAGATCCACGGGGGAGGCTTCTCTGCCTCTGTCCTAACAAACCATTACAACTGGGACTGTGCAGATCAACAGGTGGCTGAGCTCAGAGCCTGTATGGACACAGCTGGGTGACTTTTCAATGACGGGTTATCAACCACAGCACGTTGTTGTGTTACTTTGATTGTAGAGTAACACAACAGCTGGTTGTAGGCTAAGCTACAAGGTGTAGATTTCAAATTAGCCACCCGAGCCAAATACATTTACATTCTCCCTCTACAACACACACACACACACACAAACAAACAAACACACACAACCACCATTAGGTCCTCTGCACTACAGCTAGCAGCAGTGCACAAAGTTGTGTAGAATAGCTGCGGCACTGTTAGCCTCTCGGGTTGTCCCTCACACGGCTGCGGAACCGCGTCGTAGCAGAGGACGCTCCACTTGGTAAAAACCTCCAGGTACCCACCTTATTAGCCGCTTTGGAGGACATTTTACTCTCCTGTCCCTCCTCTGAAGTGGCAGGTTGGAAGTTGTCGCCGCCTGCGTTCGGACAGTCACTCGGCAGAGAGTAATATGTTCCTCGCTGTTTGATTTCTTGAGTGTGTTTCTAGCCCAGCCGCCGCCGCCGCCGCCGCCGCCACGCCGGGCTGCGTTGTTATTTTATCTGCTCCAGGACGACGATGTCACGAAGAGCCGTGTGGAAAGTCCAAAGTTCATTCTCGTATCTTCGTAGCCCGGGACGCTAGCGTTAGTGCGGCCGGGTGTCGAATCATGGGAGAAAGTCCAGTAGTGGGGTAAAGTAAAAAAAAAAAAAAAACGAGCTGGGGGGATGAGAGCAGCTTTCCTCGGACGCTTGGGGAGCTAACCGCTGGATGAAAAGTTGTGCAGAGGAGGCACCACCGGGACGGAGCAGAGCAATGGCAGAGTCTGGGTGAACCTCTCCCTGCGCTCCGCTCTGAGACCAACGGCCGTGTGGCGTCGGTGCGGAGCGGACCACTGCCTGCGCGGAGGTGTGCTGCACTCCGGGAAAACGGGAGCAGCGTCAATTTACTCCGGGAACACCACCCGTAGTAAGATCTTTTTTAAATTCAAGCACATTAGAATATGCGCGGGTGCTTGGCAATTGAATTAAATCTACCATTTTAATTGTGCTATTACGGTTGTGAAAAAGTGTCCACCCCCGCTATCCCGCGGAGTAAACAGTCCGGGATACAATGAGGAGAAGCGACGCTGCTGTGTCGGGCGATGCTGAAAGCTCACTTTGTTTCACTGTGAGATGATGGTCAGTGTTGTGCTGCTGCAGAGGGGAATTCACAACGATTTTAAACCTGCAGGATGTGACCACAGTGCAGCTGCAGTCCTCCTCTGTCTAATGCAGCACAGACCTGTGTCAAATTAAAGGCACAGGAATCCTGCCCTGCAGAGCAACACACCGTGAGCTGAATATTAAAAGTTAGTTGCATAATGACCACAACTCTTCCCCCTGTCTGTGTTTGCACCGTGTGGAGGCTTGTGCATTAGATTGCAAAAAAAATGGGTCGTTCCAATGAACAGTAGAAGAGTCATTTGAAAACATTTCTAATAAAGAGAGGGAGAGAGAAATTAGCAGTGTTTGGGGTAAAACCACTTCACAGGAAACCACAAAAGCCATTCAGTTACGTTCCTATGACTTCCTAAACCACACCCCACCCACAGGATGCAGCAATCTCGGCTTGCTTTGCTTCACAGTTTACTTCTCTCTCCTCCCCGCAAACAATGTGTGATGTTAAAGTGGAGTGATCGGTTAAGTGTGACACTGAAAAATGTCCAGTGTTACACTGCGCGTGATTGTGAGGATATGAACAGAGACACACCCTGTCTTTTCCAAATAAACGGTGCAATCACATTCCCTCGATTTAGCTGCCTCTCTAATGATCACTTCCTCTGTGTGCTGTGTTGGAGGGCTCGGCAGCAGCGTTGGTGGTCTGAGGGGCTAATTCCCACCAGACATAATCCTACAAGGCTAAGATACCATCAGTCAGGAGTAGCAGACGTGTCCTAAGGGGTTTCAAGCAGAGGATGACCTCCAAACAGGCCGGGTCATACTGAGAAGAGGATCAAGACAGATGAACAGCTCTAAAACCTGCAGCCATACTTCAGCCACGAACACACTCGGTCATTGCAAAGCATGTTTGATGAAGATATTGACTGGGACCTACAGATTTCATCACAAGGGAAGAAAAAAAACCAAGGACACAACAGAGTTAAACATGCCTCGGGGATGATACATACTAGTATTGATGCAAGTCGCTCACTCCTTCTGAAGCTTCTCAAACGCCTGTCAGGATCAATCAGCGCAGACAGAAGGATGTTCAACATGATTACTCATGTGTCGACAAAACCTTGCAATCAAAATAACCAAAGTTGAGCTGAAAAATCTTGTTCATCACCATTAAAAAACGACAATAAAGAGACGACTTTCCTCTGCTGCTCGCCCTTCACTCTCATCCACACCTGTGATAGTACCTCAGATGTTCTGACAGAGAGGGACAAGACATTAGTGACACTCCAATGTGATCAAAGCTATCTTTGTCCTCACATCTCGCATCCCTGATCTCTCTCTCTCTCACACACACACATACACACACAAGGACGCAGCAGCTTCAAAGCTCAGGTGCACTCATGGAAGAGCAGGCACATGGAAAACAGAGGCGAACATGCAGGCTCACATTTGGTCGGAGCACATCACAGGGTTCATTCAACCCAGCTTCACCTGCAGCAAAAAGGCTAATGTAGAGTGAAACAGCATAATGTGCACATCCTGCAAAATATAAAGCTGACCATCGGTGCGCACAGAGACGTTCAAGTGACAAAGCACACAAATCCTGATGATGAATAAAGAGGAATGTTTGATGCTAAGCAGTTGTTTTGCATTAGTGAAAGTTGTTAAACAGATGTTGTTTTCCTGTTTTCATCCGTCCTGAGTGAGGTGTCTGTGTGAATCCCTCCATGGCTGCAGGTCTGACACACAATATGTTTTTTCTTACTAACAGAAACCATCTGGAGACATGAGACCAACTGAAGTTCTCTATCAATCTGTGGCCACACTGACATTCATCTGAAGCTATTATTTTATCTCTTCCTGTTAGTATACAGGATTACACAAAAACAACAAACCTTTGTGGAAGGATGTGGTATTTTTCACTTTCTTTAACAATGTGAGATAGGATGTTTTGCAGCATTTTAGTTGAATTCTCAGAGAATAATTAATGTATTGTCATGAAAAACAGACATACCTAGGGGACTGATATATATGATGTTTATCCAAATAAAACCTGTTATTGAATTCAAATGTGGTTTCATAAGGGGGCTCTTGAGTGTCCTTTTACTATGCAAACATAACAATGTGTAGATTTTTATATTTATATAACCACCTTAAATTATGCTGGTGTCATACAATTATTTTATTTTCACCCAAAATCCCAATTAAAAGACCAAAACAATTAGTTAGTTAATCTCAATACTCTGACTTCCCAATATTTGTAAGAACACATGGATAAACTATGTAAATCTGTGAAAATAAGTGGACATTTAGCCAATATATTTTTCTAAAAAGGACATTTTCTTGAACAGCTGAAAAGTTACTCAAATGGGAGTAAGTTGTTGTTTTCAGCTGCAGATTGATACAAATTTGATGCGTGACTTTGTTTACCTAAAGAGAGATATATTAAGCATTGTACTATTATACTACTACTATATATTACTATCCCTTGGATTTTATTTTGAGAAACTTTCCCTAGGATAGTATTAATCTGCTCAGGAAAAGACAAAGAGGAAAGGGTTGTAGTTTCACCTGCTAATGATCCGTATACTAATGTCACACCTCCACTTAAGAGGCCAACTGTTTGTGACCATGTCTCAAATGACCAGATTAGCAGGCATCTCTCAAATTCATGCTCTTCCTTTCAGGTCATTATTGTTCGGGCTCAACCAGTAAACACGAATGTGGTTTCAGGATTTCAAGAAACATGTGCTTTAAGATTCAAAGTAAAAAGCAGTTAACCATAAAATTGTGGTAGTTAGAAAACTCCTATTCTGATAAACCAATACTGAAAAAAGAACTATAATAAATAACGAATAGAAGAAGCATGAAAGTGTCAGAAGCTGTCAACCTACATTTTACTGTCCACACATCACCTTTTATAGTGACTGTGCAAACATATTAGCTGACTGCAGCTCTACATCAGAAAGCATTTTCAAAGGTGCAAATAAGTGTACACACATATCCTTATCGTTATAACACAGGTCACTCAGGT